TGAAAAGAGAACCAACTGTATGGGAAAACATATTTTCCAATGATATATCAGACGAAGGTTTAATCTCCAGAATATATAAACAATTCATATATAAAGGACTCAATACCAGGAGGACAAACAATCCAATTAAAAATGAGCAAAGAACCCGAATAGATGTTTCTCCAAGGACATACAGATGGCCCATAGACATAAGAAAAAATGCTCAACATCACTAGCCATCAGACAGATACCACTTCACACCTACAAAAATGGCCATCATTAATAAATCAAAAAACAAGTGCTGGCAAGGATGTGGAGAAAAGAGAACCCTAGTGCACTGTTGGCGGGAATGCAGATTGGCGCAGCCACTGTGAAAAACAGGATGGAATTTCCTCAAAAAATTTAAAATGGAACTGCCTTTTGACCCAGCAATTCCACTGTTGAGAATATATCCTAGTAATAAAAAAAATTTTCAAAAGAATGTATGTACTCCAATGTTCATAGCAGCACTATCTACAATAGCCAAGATCTAGAAACAGTTTACATGCTCAACATAAGATGAGTGGATTAAAAATGGTGGTACATTTACACAATGGAATATTATGCAGCAGGAAAAAAATCCCACCTTTTTCAACAGCATGGATCAAACTGGAGACTATTATCCTAAATGAAATCAGTCAGTCAGTGAAAGACAATTATCATATGATCTTACTTATAAGAGGAATCTAATGAACAAAATAAACTAATAAACAAAATAGAACCAGAGGCATAGAATTATGGAAGAGAATAACATCTGTAAGAGGGGAGGAGGCAAGTGGAAAATGATTGACAGAAGGTGAAGGAATAGTCAAAGAATATATATGAAAGACCCATGGACATGGACAACTGTGTGGAAATTGGCTATGAAAGTTGGGGGTAAGCTGGGTGGAGGAGGGAAAAGGAGAAAAAACTGGAACAACTGTAATAGCATAAACAATAAATCACTTAAAAAAAGAATAGCCAACAGGAAAATAGATGAAACACATGAAAAACACATGAATAAATAACCATAAATCACCAATAAACCTATAAAAAACATATAAAGTGTTTAACCTCAATAGAAAGTAAATTTTTTGTTTTTAAAAATAACCCACATTTACACCTAAAATAAGCATTCGGATAAAATGATGATGGAAGTGTAAAGCTGGTACACGTTTTATGGAGAACAATTTGAAGTTTGTATTAAAAGACTCAAAAATGCATACCCTTTGAATCAGCAATTCCACTTCTAAAACTTTGTCTAAGAAAATAAGGATGTCCATTAACTAAAATTTACTTAAAAGGATCTTCATAAAGAATAGAAAAAAATGGAGTCAGATAAATGGAGTCAGATTCAATAATAAAGGACTGATAACAAAAGATGGCAAATGTACACAATGGAATAAAACAAGAGCCATTTAACATGACTTGTAGAAATAGGTTTTTGTTGCATGTTGGCTCAGTTGGTTGGAGCATCATACCGTAGAGCAAAATGTTAGAGGTTCAGTTCCTGGTCTTGCCACACCTAGTTGTGAGTTTGATCCCTGATCTGGGTGCATATGGAAAGCAACCAATCCCTCCCTCCTTCCTTCCCTCCTTCCCTCCCTCCTCCCTCCCTCCCTCCCTCCCTTCCTCCCTTCTTTCCTTCCTTCTTTCCTTCCTTCCTTCCTTCCTTCCTTCCCTTCTCTCCTTCTTTCTTTTTCCTCCCTCCCTCCCCCTCTCTCTTTCTTTGTCTTTCTTTTTCTGTCTTTCTTTACTTTCTTTCTCTTTCTTTCTGTCCTTCTTTTCTTTCTTTCTCTCCTTTTTTTTTCTTTCTTTCTGTCTTTCTCACTCCATTCCTCTCTCTATAGTCAACATATTCTCAAGTGAGAATTAAAATACATATATATTTAGTATTAAAAAGTTGTGAAAGTGTGTATTTAAATTCTTATCATAAATATGTATACATAGAAAACCTCCAAATGGATATCGTGTATTTTAAAATTTTAATAATAGTTATATCTGGAAGCCAGGCTTCCACATTTTCTTTTTCTTACCTCTCTCTATTTTCTAACTTGGGCACACTGAGAATATCTTTTATTAAAACTGTTTTTCAAACTTATACAACTGAGAAATTGCACAGGAAAGCTGAGAAAATTCTTAAGAAGGGTCCCTTACCTAAGTATTTATCATTAGGTTGTAGTTAATCTGGCCTCCCACAAAATAGGAACTGGGTCTTATCATTTCTTTTTTATTTCTAATGCCTCTTTTAGTGTATGGCATAATAGTAGACTGAATGGCTGAATGAGATCCTTTAGGAGAGAGAGAGCTAAGACACCTAAGCTCTCAATAACTACTAACTCCATTTAGCCAAGTATGCACAATGAAAAAAAAAACTCAAGTTTTTCTTGACTCCTCTTTCTCTCACATCTCACATTCAATCCATTAACTAATCTAACTAAACAAATCCTGTTTGTTCCATGTTCGAAATGTGTTCTCACAACTATTCTCACCATTGCTACTACCCTAAGTAGCAATACTTTGACTGCTACTACCCTAGACCAAGCCAAGAATCACCTCTTGCCCCTACAACCATAACAGTCCCCTACCTCGTCTCCATGCTTCCATTCTGATGCATTGTAGTCTTCATGCCACAATTAGATATGCTTAAAGGCACATCTAATCATGTAAGTCCAAACTCAAAACCCCCAATAGCTTCCCATCACCTGCAGAATAAAATCCAAAGTGTTTCCCATGGTTTACAAACCCTGCATGATCTGCCCACCGTGGTCTCCCACCACACTGGCCTGCTTACTATTCCTGGAATTTTCAGACATGTTCCCATCTCCTCTCCCCATGTCCGTCTTTCTTTCCTCCTTGCTGGGAATGCACTTCTCCTTAAAATTGACCTCATCAAAAAGATCTCTGCTTTAAAAGTCACTTTATCAAATGGCTATCTTTAATTACTTTTTAAAAATAGTAATCCTTCCTCTAACCTGCTTTATTTTTATTCAGTATACCACCTGTCATTATATTATCTATTAATTTGTTTACTATCTGTCTCCCTGCTAGAATGTCTATTGGCCAAAGACTTGGCTTTCTTCACCATGTGACATCAAGCACTTGGAATAGAGCCTACCACATTGGAAGTGGTGAATAAATACTTATGAGATAATTAGGGGAGTGAATAAATAAGAAAATGACTTCGGCAAGATGTGCTTCAAGTTCTCATGTAAACATAATATTTGGGCCAGTGTCTGCTCTAAACCATGAAATATTTCCTGAAATCAGCACCAAAAAGTAATGTTGTAATAAAGCAGGTGCCATAACAACATCACAGTATTCAATCGCGATACTGATGTTGATTACTGTCAATGGGCCTGGAGTTCCCCAAGCCCCATGAAACCTCCCCATCTCTCATCCCACTATCATTTAAGACTCATATCCACCTTACTGAAATTTAAAGTTTTCCTAAGAATTTATTAACAGATTTAAGAGAAACTGAAAGTTATTCCCATGAGGAAAAGTCAGTTATTTCATATTTTGAGCAACTTCATTCTCATTGACTAGTTACCAAACATTGTTCCCTGAAATTGGCCCTGGAACATGGAACAGTAATCTGACTTGCTAAAGCCACTAATGAGTTCACACTGTCTTAACTGTACCAGTGCAATGAGGCAAGGAGAGCCCTTGCAAAATGAACACAGGTGCTCTCAAACCATGTGTAAGTGAAGCCTCAGGGTGCCAAAGTCAGCTGTGGTCTATGTCACAAGTTTAGAACCTAAAAAATAAAGTACTTAAGTTTGAGAATTATTTATTAAAAAATAAACTGGACTGTAATGTCAAATAAACTTCCTTCCTGACATACATTCTTGGAAAAAAGCTAATGCATACCAGATCAGAAACTTTGCATAACTCTAGTTGATCATCCTGCCATTTAAGTAAATTTTGAATAGTACTCCTGACAGTCAACCACAGTGCTTCAAAAACACAGTTTTTAAGAACACCAGGGTAAGTGTAGCATACATACTGTAAAACCCAGGCTGCAGAGTGAGGCCAGTATGGGTCAGAATGCATTTCTGCTACTTAGTTGCTGTGTGATCTTGGATAAATTCTCTAACTGCTCTGGGCTCCTTAACACCATATTATCCGTAAAATGCAAAGACATATTCCATAGAGTTCTTATGAGAATTGAGACAATGCATGCAAACTATTTATCAAGTACATATTACCCAGGCAAAGACAAGAATGGGAAAATGACCACAGCAGGTGGAACCAAGAAAACAGTGGAAGGTAAAAGTCTGTTTGCAAACTTCTGCACACAAACAGGAAAACGACTTCCAAAAGTCTGTAATTTGGAGCATCTGTTGAGAAACACACACATCACACGCCCGGAGAAGAAAGAGCACCTTTCTTCACATCCCAATCAGCTTTAAAAGTTATGTAGCCTTTTACACTCACACTGACAATCCTAACCTTACACTGGCAGTTTTGTCTACTCAACCCATGTGCTGCAAAATCCCAAATCTGACTCCCTGAGGCCTAACAGCGAAAATGAAAAACTAAAAAGAAAATGAAAACTTGAGACATTACTGTACACAGTAAACATTTACTTAGCCAAAGACTATCGCCCTCTGCAGTGTCAAGGTAGTTGAAAAAGTAAGCCCTGCCTTAGGCTCTGTCAGTGACAACATGTTCTTCCTATCCACGCTTCCGTGGAGAACTATGGCAATAAGTACACTGCAAGTAGCAAGACAGTTTGCCCTGAGAAAACTTCCGCTTTCCAGTTACTGAGGTCCCAACGTGCGTCGGTCAGTCTCCATCCAGCGGGGTTCCCCGCGGTTCTCTTCTCCAACAGCGCTTGGCAGTTCCCCCCAAAGACAACACACTGCAGAGGGTAAGTCAGTGCCCAATCGAGGAGAATAGCCCGGGACAAGTGGGGAGGAGACTCTCCGGCTGTTCCTGGGCCCCTCACCACGAAGGGAATGCGAGTGCTGTCTCCCGGGGGCGGCCACACACGGTACCTGGATGAGGTTCCTCTGGAACAAGGCGATATGCACGCACCCGGGGACCTCCCCAGGCAGCTCCAGTGAGCCGTTCCCGCTGCGAATCCTCCAACTTCCCCCCAGGCTGAGACTGCGCGCCGCGGCCGAGGGGTGCGCACCCCACAGCGCGAGTAGCTGGAGCAGCAGCGGGCAGAGGCGCATTATAGGACCCAGAGCAGGGGTCTCGGTTGCGGAGCTGCAGGCGGCCTCGGAAGCCACAGAGGGTTCAGAAGGAGCCCAGACGCCAGCCTACTTAGTCCGCTGTCCGGCCCCGCCTCCCGGCCCCGCCCCCGCCTGCCTCCGGGTCTGGGCTCGAGGCCCGGCCTCCAGATCTGCTAAGCTGCAGGGATGCCCGACTTAGGTGCCTGCAAGGGAACACAAGCCTCTCCACACAGCTCGGACCTCCTAACCTTGTAGTCTACGCCATCCTCAGCGTTCATTCCCGCTGTTCCGGTGTCTGAACCGGAGACGCAAACGTGCACGGTAATCGACACACACAAATCTCTGGGCGCAAAGTGGCGCAAAGCCAGGGGGAGCTCTGGGACAGACAATAGTATGAGGACACCACAGCTAGAGAGGCTCCTCACTGCTTCAGAGAAGCGAAACCCCGTGACACCCCATCACTTTCGTTCCCCAAATTTCCCCAAACCCCCCACCACTCTGCAGGGTCGGCCGGGTGGCGGTGACGCCTGCCTCCTGCAGCTCCACGAGGGTCTGAGTACCCAGCCCTTGAAAGAGTAAGCAAGTACTAAAAGGGCCTAATTGGTAGGATTGTTTTGAGAGCTGAGAAAAGCCGTGTAGGGCGTGTGGGAGGGGCCTGACTCTCAAAACGCCCAGCTTCTTAGCTAATCGTGTCTGTGGACTGAGACCTTCTCTTTTACAAAGTTCCTCAGAGGAGGCTCCTGAGGCTCTGGAACCCTTCCCTAGATGCGCAAGCAAATTTCAAGTCTGCCGCTATTTGTGCAACCTGGCAAGCCACAGAATCTCTAGTACCTCTGTTTCCTGAACTCGAAAATGTAGGCGGTAATTTTTCACGTCGTTATAAGCATAAAATGAGTTTAATAGATGGTTGTCTCAGTGCGAGGGTACCCAAAAAATACCACAGGTTTATTCCAGGTCTCTTACTCACGTGACCTACTTGACTCCCGTTTTTGCAGTAAGTTTTAACAGTGACTCTAGAAAGCTGATAGAGGAAATTTCACATTCCATAAAATAGACTGGCTTATCCCTGTGTTGATGTTATCTGCCTTATTTCATTATTTAGAAGAGAAAGTCTTTGAAAAGTCCTCCCCTCATGAAATCCAAGCTTTGTTTTGCTGTACAATGGCTCTGGAACTGAATGAATCTATGTACACAGGACAATATTTTACCTTTTCAGAATCAGTACTTTTCACAAGCCTAGCATTTGGCATTAGGGACACTATGGATTATACAGTCCAACCCTTTGGCTTTACAGCTGAGGTAATGGGGGTCCAAAAAAGTCAGATGACTTGACTATCATACAGTGGCAGATAGGACCAAAACACTCCTCTCCTGGTTCTTAGTCTCCTTGCAGTTGAGCCTTTTGATACTAAAGGGAAAAGGTTCTGGCTGATTCAAAGGCTTTCCCACTCCAGAAGCATTCTTACTTTTGATAGAACAAAGGTCTCACTTCAAGTAATATACCATAATGAGTGGCAATAGACAGCCATCCCCAGTCTGTTCAAAACTGACAACGTAACCTAGGGCTGCAAGAGTAGCAAAGATTTTTTCATAAATCCCAGAGATTCTATTAAGCCAAGCCAAAGGAAATTTCATGCCAGCAAATGTATTTGGCTATATTCTGCTGTTCTATTAAGAATCATTTTAGGGAATCTATTTTTTAAAAAACAAGAAATAGAGACGTCATTCCTTCTTTAATTCCAGGACACAAGCATAACATCATTTGGATTACTTCATTTTGAAAACAGAGAACTTAAATCAAATGCAAAGCCCAAAAAAGTATTCTGCCTAAAATTGGGTTTGACACAGGTGACATGATGTTTTCATTTTGTTAGAGGATAATTTTTGTCCATTATTTCCAGGAAGAAGAAATCAGTTTGAAATAGTTATAAAATTTCTCAACTTATATAATTTAAAAGCATAACATCAGATACCATTTTAAAAATAGTCACACATTTCTATAACCTTATACTGTATAAATGGATGTTGGGGACCGCCCTGCCTGGTTTCAGAAGCCGCAACCCCTCATGGCTAAGGCTGAGTGAGAAACCTTGGAACCCTAAGCTTATAAGGAGACAAAGCTTACTTATCTCCCTGGCAGGGGCGTCGCCTCTGCCCCCTTTACCTCACCCTGCTTGGCCCTGAGTGGATGACCTTTTAGCCAATGACAGGTAAGATTCCTCAATGGAGGGATGACCTAAGACAGGCAGGGTCATGAAGGGGCCCCCAGGGAAGGACTTGGGGGGCTATAGAAAAAGGGGGTGATGGACCCTCGCCCCTCAGCTTTGACGTAGCCTGAGTCCCCATTCTGTCTGCAAGAAGTCTCCTAATCTCTTGGGTGCCTTACTTCCTCTGCTTGACTTAAGCCTAAAACATCGACAGAGGGTGGTGCAGTACTGTGCTGGAAAGGGCGAATTCCCTAGGGCAATCAGGCCTAAGAAAGAATGCATAAAATCCTGTGAAACCTGCTTTGCTAATACACTCAATTCAAATGGTAAGGATCCAAGCATGAAATGAGTGTTTCCCCAAAGTTTTATGGGACTTTAGCTGTCTGATCCTGACTCAAAATAAGCCCTTATAGTTCTTTGAATGTTATCTATTGTTTGATCCTTACTGCCTGACAATGGTTGATGAGCTTTATGTATATATGCCCTGTATCCTTTGCAAATGAACCCAGTAAAAGACCATTCAGGAAAAGTCTCCTGGCCCTTCTTTGAGAGTTCAGCCACCTTTCCTCCCCAAGCAGATCATGTCTTGGTAGACTTATTCTCATCCGTGGTGGCTGGGGGTCCCTGCAGGCAGAGCCCCCCCCCCACCCACAAATGGACTTCATTTTGATCATCTCATTTGATGCTTCCCAGAATTCAGATTATTTAGACCAAGTGATATTTTCCTGATTTAAAGAGACAAATAAAGCCTATGCAGGTTAAATGACACACAGGATCAATATTCTGCTGCAGGAGGCCAATGAGGATTTTTTGGTCCATCTGACCATACTACCATCTCTAAATACATGAAATTGCTAAATAAACTCATCAGAACATCATGGTATTCCAAGGCCAAGAATGTTTCAATGCCATGAGATAATCTCATAAATTATAATAAGGAGGAAAAAGACTCAGAATGCTTAATCTCCAAAACTAGGGACAATGGACCATAAGTATCCCCCTTTAAGGTTATACAAAGAACTCTGAAACCCAAAAATAAAAACACAAACAACTCAACTAAAAAATGACCTAACAAAGACATACAAAACCATGATGAGATATCTGACAGGTACCTTGCACCTGTCAGAGTGTCTATAATCAATAAAACAACAAATGACAAGTGTTGGCAAGGATGTGAAAAAAAGGGAACGCTTTTGCACCATTGGTGGGAATGCAGATGGGTACAACCACTATGGAAAGCAGTATGAGGATACCTCAAAAAATTAAAAATGGAACTGTCTTATGATTGTCTAACCACTCTGCTGATCACCTAAAACTAATACATAATAATATTAAATGTAAACAGCAGTTTAAAAAATCAAATAAGAATGTGAAAAATAAGATACACAGATGGCAAATAAACATATAAAAAGATGCTCCAGATGCTGACCTTAGACTTCTGGTCCAGATGGAGGTGTAGGTAGATATACTTTGCCTCCTCACACAACCAAAAGAAGGACAACAACAAATTTAGAAATAAAACGTAATGAGAATTGCCATAAAATTGAACTGTATGGAAGTCCAACAACCAAGGAGTTAAAGAAGAAACATTCATCCAGACCAGTAGGAGAAGCGGAAATGGGCAGCTGAGGCAGGGAGGATGTGCAGCAAGGCAGATGGATCAGAAGTCCCACATTTGTTTATGGATAAACCAGGAGGAACAACTAGGGAGCAAGACAGACCATGCAACCCAGGGTTCCAGTGTGGGGAAGTAAAGGCTCAAAAGCTCTGACTGAAAAAACTTGTGAGGGTTGAGGTGGCAGGAGAAACTCCCAGCCTCACAGGAGAGTTCATTGGAGAGACCCACAGGTCCCAGAACATACATAAACCCACCCACAAGGAATCAGAACTAGAAGGGCCCAATTTGCTTGTGGGTAGTGGAGGAGGTGACTGAAAGCCCACAGAGAGCTAAGCAAGTGGCATTGTTCCCTCTCGGACTCCTCCCGCAAAATACAGCACCAGAATGCAGCAACGTGGGTTAACCCAACCTGGTAAATAAATACTTAAGGCTCTGCTCCTTACTACATAACAGGCATGACGAGACAAAAAAAAAATATATATATATATGGTCCAAATGAAAGAACAGATCAAAGCTCCAGAAAAAATATAACCAAGCAATGAAGAGATAGCAATCTATCATATGCAGAGTTCAAAACACTGGTAATCAAGGTGCTCATAGAAATGACTGAGTATGGTCACAAAATAGAGGAAAAAGTGAAGGCTATGAAAAGTGAAATAAAGAAAAGTGAACAGGGAACCAATAGTGATGGGAAGGAAACTGGGACTCAGATCAATGATTTGGAACAGAAGGAAGAAATAAATATCCAACTGGAACAGAATGAAGAAATTAGAATTCAAAAAAATGAGGAGAGGCTTAGGATCCTCCGGGACAACATTAAACATTCCAACATCCAAATCTTAGGGATGCCAGAAGGAGAAAAAGAAGAGCAAGAAATTGAAAACATAATGGAGAACTTCCCTAATCTGGCAAAGGAAGTAGGCTTCCAGGAAGTCCAGGAAGCTCAATGAGACCCAAAGAAGTTGGACTCGAGGAAGCACACACCAAGATACATCATAACTACATTATCTGAGATCAGAGATAAGGAGAGAATCTTAAAAGCAGCAAGAGAAAAAGAGACAGTTACTTACAAAGGAGTGCCCATAAGACTGTCAGCTGATTTCTCAAAAGAAACTTTGCAGGCAAGAAGGGGCTGGAAAGAAGTATTTGAAGTCATGAAAGGCAAGGACCTACATCCAAGATTACTCTACCCAGCAAAGCTTTCATTTAGAATGGAAGGGCAGATAAAGTTCTTCTCAGATAAGGTCAAGTTAAAGGAGTTCATCATCACCAAGCCATTATTATATGAAATGTTAAAGGGACTTCCTGAAGAAACAGAAAAAGATAAAAACTATGAGCAGTAAAATGACAACAAACTCACAACTATCAACAATTGAACCTAAAAAAAATGAACAAGCAAACAAATAGAACAGGAACAGATT